AAAATAATGATAGTTTTAGTGGAATTAATGAATGAGGTTTTCAAAGTGACCACCCTCGCACACTATCAAATGCCGTGAACGAGAGAGAGAGAGAGAGAGAGAGAATCGCATTATTATTCATAGTCATTAAGACAAGAGTATTTCTAGATTTATAATGAATATTCTTGTGGTATATAAACATTATTAACTGAATTGTAATGAATTTGTTATTTTGTTAATAAATTGCTTAAAGGGTTATTACATCGACAGCTCTTAGACATGAGAGCTATTCTCTCACATAAGTTTTGAATTCAAAATATGTTTAATGAAAATGAGATATTCCTCAGGCTTTATATGGATTCGTTGGATAAGGAATTGACTTTTATTGATACCTATTTAAAGACAGATATGTTTTTATTTTTAGAGTTTATTCAGTAAAGTCTGCATTCAAAGTGTATTTTAAATTCACTATTGATTTCCGCATCAAATGTGTATTTATTTCTATATTGAAAGCTATCATTAAAATGATAATTTTTATCGTAAAATGCTTTTAGAATCTTATTTTTAGTTTACATTTAGAGATAAAATATATTGATTTAACACTTTAAACGATTAAATAATATATTTTATATTAATTATTATACAGGGTTGTCCATATATACCAAGAGTTTTAAATTGAGCGCTATTTGAATACCATTAGAGATACTGATGTCAATCAAAGTTTATCTTGGTCACAAAAGTTCATAGTTTTTTTAGCACATGTTATTTATTTATTATAATGGCGTCTGCAAAAACTGTGTACCCAACCAAACAGAGGATCGATATCATTGAGCTGTACATCGAGGCTGGGCGATCGGCTGCGGCAACCTTGCGCAAATTCAAGGCAAAGTATGGGCAAAGTGTGACCTTAACTTTGACCACAATCATTAAGCTAGTTTTTGAATGGAGGGCTTTTTTACCCGTCGGTCTGTCAGTTTGTCGGTCCGTCGATAATTTATAATTAACTTAATTTAATAATATTATATATGAATTCGATGTAGAATTTAGCGCTGAGTCTGAATTTGAAATTTAAAAAATTTTAGCTCAAATATTTTTCGAGTTATTCGACTTAGAAGATTCGACCGACGGACCGGTTTTTTGTCACTCGTTCACGGCATTTGATAGTGTGCGAGGGTGGTCACTTTGAAAACCTCATTCATTAATTCCACTAAAACTATCATTATTTTTAAATAAAATAAAATTTATTTGAACAAAATATCTCAAGTCTAAGTATTTTTAAAAAATTAATTAAAACTCTTGGTATATATGGACAACCCTGTATATTGAACAACAGAATAATATGTGAATTATTGGCAAAATTGTGTAAAAGAAATTCTAGTATCGATTCTTTGATAATCAAATTACAAACCACTTGTGATTTACTATAAAATAGAGCCCAAAAATCCTAAACTCAATAAAACAAACCAAACGGACGGCGAGAAAAAAATGTGACTGAAATAAAAATGAAATCAACAAAAAACTTAAAATTAAATGACAAAAACTTACGGAAACGTTGAACGCGTGGAGGAATATATGGGCCAAGCGTTTGGCGAAGAGTTCAGACTTTCCGGTCTCCGTTGCGTACAAAATGGTCGCTTTGATCCGTTTGGACAGCGCTTTGCCGAACAGATTGCTCGTGAATTTGACCGCTCGGGCGATCTCTTTGAACCGCAATTTGCGTGGAGTTCCCGTCCCGTTAGTGCTGTTGCGGGACAGTTGGGCGCCGGGAGTGATGTGCCACTCGTGTGTCCTCCACGCCGGCTCCTGATACTCGTACGACGGCTTCAGCTCGTAGTACAACATCTCCTGATGAAACACCGGCGTCAGTGACCCGGATATGGGCGGCACGACCCACACCCAGTCGGCCGGACAGCCGCCCCTTAACCGCTGTTCGTTGTCCAAGTGTTTCATGAATGACTCGGCGGCCGTGTGGTGGTCGACGATCGTCACGTTGGCCTTCTGGTAGCTGAACAGCACAGCGATGTTCAACTCGACAATAGCCAAGTCCTTCCACAGCGAAGAGTTGGTCCGCACATCCAAACCCATCCGTACCGCCACTTCCTATTCATTAAGTGTATATTTCAATGAAATTATTTCAAAGCTATTTGTGTTCTGTTTGTTTGCATTAATTTTTGTTTTAATTGCAAGAAATTACAGAATATGTAATTTTTCAGTGTATTTCTAATGAGTGTATAATTTAGTGCTTAAAATGTGTTGTAGTGTCGGAAGCGGTGTTCCTGTAATTCATGATTGCCTTCACTGTATAGTAATGTATTGAATGCATGACAAGACTTAAGTCAAACACCAAATCCTCTCCTCCTCGCTGTCGAGTGTCTTTATGTTTAACACAACTTAACAATAAAAATCTTATTAAACATCACTTCAATTTAAAATTCCGGTTTCAATACATTCGTTGAATACGATATACGAAGCGATTAATTAATTCCTTATTATTGGCATTGAATGCAAGCAAATTCTCACTTATACTTGGGCTCAGAAATTATGCCAAAGAAATTTAAATATCAATTAAAATCTAATCAGATTTTACTTTTCTATAATGTATATAAAAGATATGTATGAAAATGTTTTGCACTCAACATTTACCAGAAACGGAGTCCCAAAATATTATTTAGAAAGTAATGCACGGCTTAACTTACACTTGTATTAGTGGTGTTTAATGTAAATTAAATAGATTTTCGTGTGTTTTATGAATATAATCCATAATATAATACTAAACCTCGAGAATATTATATCTCTGAGGGTCGCATAAATCTCTGGTGGCGATCTCGGTCACCATATACCAGCCACTGAATGGACAGGCAGGGAATTCCAGGCCTCCCACGTCAAACATCATGTTAGACACGGCCGGCAACGCATACCACTGGATATCCAACTCCTCAAAGCATTTAAACCTATGGGCGATATATATAATAATAATCGATAAAAATAAATAATAAAATTATATGTTTTTATTGTTATTTCAATTGTAAACCTCTGGCGAAATCTATTCTTATAAATAAGGTATAAATTTTGTTTTATTGTTTTTTTTGCTGGACTTTCTAAACATCAAGTGTTTTGTGTAAAAACTATACGGAATTTGTCGGGTATTTAGTGAATGAAAGGACATATAGACACACCTCGGATGAGAGATAGGCACGCGTAGCACCAGTTCCTCCGGGAGTGTGAATACTTGTGGATCTTCATCGGGAACTGACAGCACGAGAGGCAATACATCCCATTTCGTACGCTTTCCTTTCCATCCGAGTCTTTCGCACAACTATTTTGTCGTTGTTTTAAGTTTTGTTTTTTTTTGTGTTAAGATTTCCGACATAAGAAAAGGTTACAATCGTTACAAAACAACGTATTTGTATAGATTTTTGCACTTAAAAGCATTTGAATGTAAACTAATAAAACTACTTTTCAATTATTTATACGTTTACACGAATAGGCAAATGAAAAAACTTTGATATATTTAAATAAGTTTGTCTTATTCTACTGTATATTCTATATGTGTTTTTTTATTACTTTTTTGGTGAATAAAAAATGCTTTTAGTTTCATATTGTTTTAATCGAAATAATAGTAAAAATAAACTGCTTTTTGTTTTGTCTAAAGAAATATAATAATGCATTAATTCTTTACAAAAAGCACAAAATTTTAGTGAGAATTTTTCGTTTACTCTGCAATTTCTCAAACACTTGTGTGCGAAAAATTCCTGGTATTTGTCGTCAAATCATTTTATTATATAATATATTAGTTATAATAAAATTATATTTAAAAGTATTAAGCGTTTTATTGATGTTAAAAGCATTCACACAATTGAAGTAAATGTAATGAACATGTATTTTAAAGTACTGTGAGTTACAGCTATCGGTGCTCTTACTTGAGTGAACTCCACATTCATGGGATCGCCGATGATTTGGGAGGAGGGCGTCGGTGTCTGTGCGCCCGAACCGTCCGTCTCTATGTTCTCATACCCGGCGTATGAAATCAACTGCAGATTCCATACTCTGAACTCTCTTTTGCCGATCCTCTGGGGAAATATAGTGATCGCAGACCTAATCATAAAAATATTATTTATTTCATAATAAAAATCTACAAAACAGACAAATATTATATCGTTTTCTATTAAATGATTGTTTGCAATAAATTCATGTTTAGAATAAAAATATAATATTTAAATGAAGTTAAATAAATATAAAATCATTTTAAAAAGTATCAGTAAAATCATAACAAATAAAAAATTTTAATATCTTGTTATTATAATATTTGTAAACTTTATATTTGAAATTATATCTTCTGATAACCTATTATATAAAAGATGTTCTTTTGATATTAATAATAGCAAATAATGCCATTTTTCTATAAGTATTCTTGTTTTTATTTCACGTATATTTATGACTATATTTTCTCCGTGTTTAATGAATTTAATTATCTTCTTATCTCAAGATATTTTTAGCTCTCTCTCTCTCTCTCTCTCTCTCTCTCTCTCTCTTTCATAATCACAAAATCTATGCTATAATTCTTTATAAATTTAAACGTCAAATTATGTTAAATGTTTTCTTATAAATAATTATTTTAATGTAATTTAATAGCATTTAAGGATTACCTCAGATTTCCTTTATTTGTGGCATATTTTATATGATTACAGAGCGCTTCAAACATCTCACGAGCAGTAGTGACATATCGGGCGTCAAATACCTGCGAGAATTACAAGTGATTTATAGATATGTTTATCATATAATAAATTAATTCAAAGGAAACATTTTTCTTATAGGTTAATGAAATTTATCATTTTTTGCTCAAATAATTAAACTCAATTAATGTATAAATAAAAATTTATAAAATATAATGATGTATTTATAAAATACTACTAAAATATTGTTTGTTTGTTTAAAAATTTAATAATGTAATTGATTTAATAATATTCATGGCAACAGGTCTTTAAAATAATGACAATTCTTAATACATGTAGAATATCTTTTAGCCTAAAAATCAATGTTTTTTAGCCTTTAAATCAGTTCTTGCAATAAGTTTTTAATAATTTGTGAATTATAGACAATTCTAAGGAAAACATTATTACATTATATAAATGGACAGAAAAAAATCTTAAAAGACTTTGTGAACAGAATTGAGAAGTGAATATTAGTGAACAAGTTTTGAACTAAATTTTTATATGTTTAACACTATTATTGAAATGCTAAATAAAGTGAGACATTCTTCTCCTCTCAATCTCGTTTATTGCCTCAATATATACGGTATATATAAATGTACAGAATATTCTGTGTATTTTCATAGCTCATGTTCACATCTTATTCTCTACTTTAAGGCTATGAACAGAAAAAGTTTTTTAAATTAGAGTCTTATGAATGATAAAGTGAATATACTGTAGAGAGAGAGAGAGTGAGTGAGTGAGTGAGTAAGAGAGAGAGAGAGAGAGATTTAAGTATTGGAGAAACTTCTTTTGGTGAGCGCATCGTTTCGGCCTTTTTTGGTCACTTCTGCGGTCCGTAATGTTATACCAAAGATGTCCTCATGATATCGCATATTCTCCTGAAATAAAACCCGCATTTATTGCTATAATTTGTTTCTTTTTTCAAAACACATTAACTATTGGTTTCCACAAAGAAGTTGACAAATGTTTTAATGGAAAACAAATACACATAACAATAAAGACTTTGTTATTTATATTGGATTCAAATAAACAGTACCTTCAATGAGAGGAGTGCTATCTCCGGGTCATCGATACCATTGTCTTTTAGTATAAACTTTAAGGTTTTGCAGACATCTTCAGCCATCGAAACATCACCGCAAACAAAGAAGTGTCCCCTTTCGTGGATCAACTCGTGGTATATCTGTTGAGATTGACTCTTCAGACAGTCCTGAACGTAACGCTAATAAAAGTGCACAAAAATAAAAAAAAGGCGATAAAACAAACATTACATTTAAATTGTAACACAATTTACAACAAAACTAAACACATTTAATGATGGGATAAAAGAAAGGTAACAAAAGTAATAATAATTATGAGGAAAAAAGTTGTAGAAAACATTAAATTACTTTTGAATGTCCGGAAACTCGGGAATAGGCTATAAAACTCTGCGAAATGATGCCGTTGTTGACCATCATCTGAACCTCTTTGGCGTGCAATTGCATAGATGGCGATCGGCAGCCAAAGAACAAAGTCATCTTGCTCAGTTTGTTGCGGTCCTCTCGCTTTGTCTCAATCAGTTTGGACCTGTGCTGCCAAAAGCCGCGGAAGGGAGCGATTCCACTGCCGGGTCCGACCATTATTATGGGTGCCGTTCGGTCGTCGGGGAGCCGGAAGTTGGGCGCCGATCGGATGAACCCATAGACCGAATGCCCGCTTTTGATTTCGTTTAAATAGTTAGAGCAAACGCCGTAGTGTTGGGCACCCGAATGGGTCACGTATTTGACGACAGCCACAGTCAGATCGATGCGCGCCGAAGAACTCATCAACGGTGACGACGATATCGAATAAAATCGCGACTGAATTGGAGGCAATTGTGTGAGGATTAACTCAGGAGGAAGTCTTAGCGACCGGAACTCATTCAGCACTTCCAGAAGGTTTGGAAAACACGAAGCCTTCCACTCTTCATATCGGGCCGAATCGGTGGCCAACTGCTTGAGTCGCGCCTTATCCGACGGGTTCGTGGCGTTAACGGCAAACAGAGTGAGTAACTGTTGTGTCGGCGGAGTCGTGACGTCCATATATCTGGTCAACGCCTCTCGCAGTGAAGTGATCGCCAACTTCTCGTTGGGAATCCATTTCTCCGCTTCCGTCCCGTTATTCTTGTCGTCCATTTGATTCACTCTAACAAATATACTGTACTCTTGATCCACATTATAGTCGTCGCTATAGTGTGCGAGTATGTCGTCCACGAGTTCACGTCGGTTCTCTGGATACACACCCAAATGGTCGCCCGGCATATAGAAAGTGGACGTCTGTCGAGCATTAATGGCCTCTAATTCGACCAAAACTGTGGTCCGGCCGTCAATCTCGCCGTCTTGTAGGGGAACCCTATTCATCATCTTATACTCAATCGCTTGTCTCGACGGACCCTTTGACAGACCTAATGGTGCGCTCATTTGTATTAGTTATTTAGTTCATATAATTCAGTTTAAAATGTATTGCACTGGATCTGTACTAAAAAGTATTAATCACCATAATATTATTTGAGATTTTGTAATGAATAATTGCACTGTTAATACCATGATGATTAATAATTTTAAGTTATTTCATTGTTTCCCATAACATATAACTAAAGTGTTTACGTTAATACATTTTAAGGATCTGTTACTTAAGTGTTACTTACATTTGCAAATGTCTTGAATGGTGTTTCCATAATATGGTACGAGTTTTACATTATCTTTAGACCATATTTGGGGCTTAAGAGTCGCTGATTTCATCACTTCCTTCAGATTAAGATCATCTGATATGCAGAAGACATCGCAGGCGACCTCAAAGGCGATGGACGCCCAGTCGCCGAATGACTGTTCCTGACCGCACAGCTCATCACCGCTGCCCACCTTCAGGATCCGTTCGCCGCCCAATTCAGACAACATTGTGTCCAAATAGCGGCCAAACGCACAGAAGTTGGGGTAAGCGCTCGATCCCAACCCAAACACTGCAAATCTGTTGGACAACAGACACGTGTGTATCAGTAAAAACCCGAGTCATTATAAGGGCTGTGGTTTGTGTGTTACGTGTGAACTGACCTTATATTGCTTAGAGGGCCGATAGGGTTAATGTTGTCCATATCATTGATGCCAGAGTTGGGCACATCCGACGAGTCGACCGATATTCTCAGATAAGTGGCTGATATATGGCGGACACTCTCGATGTCGGGCGTCGTTTCGCCGGTCATTTTGATGGCCTGCAGCTGTCGGGCAAATACTTCGCCGTTTTCTGGCGGATCTCCATTTCCGAAAGTGGACGTCACCACCAAAAGCAGGGCCTCGTGTTCCAGATGTGACATATCATACGAGTCCATACACATCACCTGTCATCACATCCAACAACACAAATGTTTGTCATTTTAGTTGATAACTTAATTCTGGTGAGAGATATAATGGATACTAAACGTGCGCTCATGTGTTGATAATTATACGATTAACTCATGATTTTTGAATTAAAATATAATGTTTTAATTTGTCGATAAAACCATTGATTCTTTAATAAGTTTGAAGTTTAATGTGTTATAACTTTATGCAAAGTGTGTAATACTAAAAGTACTATCGATAATATTAATAAATTTTATAATAGACTAAACACGTAATTCAAGTAATTTTAACCTTAAAAAGTTGGCAAATAATTTTAATAAGTTATAAAAATGAAAATTTTTTAAAACAAATTAGTTTTCTAAAAGTGGTTTTAAAAAATAATCAAATGAATTACATTTGCTATACTCTACAGTAATTGACATTTAGTTTTGTTTCAATGCCGTCGTCTTTGGGAAAGTCTTTTAAATTGAGATAATTTTCTAAAAGACAATTTTGGAGCAATAGTTTGAACGCATTTCGATGCTATGGTCTATACTATAGATTAGTGTCGGAAACGAAACAGAGAGACACTGATTAATGAAAACATGAAAAGTCTATACTATATAATAAGTTATAGTATATCTGTATGTGTTGTTCAATACTGTATTCGTGAAGACGTTTTATTTAGTATTCTGTTTACAGAATGTGCAGCAAAAGCAGTGATAGGCTTAACATATAATTGGTGCACAAAATTCATGATCCAAATTCTTAAATGACTTTAATTTTTTGTCTCTGTTTTAGTTTTGCTTTTCTCACTTTCTTTGGGTATTTCTGTCTCTAATTAGATAAAGATTTTGTATAAATCAATGCAAAAATTATTTTTGAAACAAAACATTGATGTAATGTACCATCAAATCAACGCAATGTTTATCACTTATGGCTTTTGCTTCTCAACCAACTAATCATATTATTAATAATTTTCTTAATATTTATGTTTAATATGTTATTTCAATATTTATATTCTTATGAAAGAGAGAGAGAGAGAGAGAGAGAGAGAGAGAGAGAGAGAGAGAGAGAGAGAGAGAATCGCATTATTATTCATAGTCATTAAGACAAGAGTATTTCTAGATTTATAATGAATATTCTTGTGGTATATAAACATTATTAACTGAATTGTAATGAATTTGTTATTTTGTTAATAAATTGCTTAAAGGGTTATTACATCGACAGCTCTTAGACATGAGAGCTATTCTCTCACATAAGTTTTGAATTCAAAATATGTTTAATGAAAATGAGATATTCCTCAGGCTTTATATGGATTCGTTGGATAAGGAATTGACTTTTATTGATACCTATTTAAAGACAGATATGTTTTTATTTTTAGAGTTTATTCAGTAAAGTCTGCATTCAAAGTGTATTTTAAATTCACTATTGATTTCCGCATCAAATGTGTATTTATTTCTATATTGAAAGCTATCATTAAAATGATAATTTTTATCGTAAAATGCTTTTAGAATCTTATTTTTAGTTTACATTTAGAGATAAAATNTCTCTCTCTCTCTCTCTCTCTCTCTCTCTCTCGTATTCCTTATATTATTACAAACATAAGAAATCGTTTTACAAAATATAAATCCAATAAAAACTATATATCAAAAAACAAAATAAATAAATCAATAAAAAATATTCGTGGATAACGTTTTAAAAGTATATCACAAAACCATATATAAAATAATCTGAATATTTCGTATATAATATATATTTTGAATTTTTTTGGAAAAATGCTTCAATAATAATAACCATAATAATAGGAAAGCAAATGAATTTCTTTGTATCCCATTTTACTCTATCATTTCAATACGAATTCAATGCAAAATTATTGCAAAGAAATTGTTTTTTTTCAAAATAATGCATAAAATAATTTTTCCACATCACGGAAGATGTAAATATCAAATGTTTTTTCGATTTTTATCCAAAAAAATATACAACAAAAATTTTAACCAAATGTTTAGTGATTTTCCCATCAGTTACTCGTAAGAAGTGATTCAATCACTGAATATAAATATTCATTATTATAATTAAATATCAGCTGATATAATATGCTTTACAACTTATGGTAATTTTTAATATAAGATTCTGCTTTAATTCTTGAATATTCTTTGGTCTAAAAACTAATCAATAGCTCAAAATATTATCTTATTATTAACTTAATTATAACAATAATACGTTTAGAATTTAAACTTTAAATACATAAAAATCTACTCAAAAACAATTTTATTCATTTCTGACTTATGAAAGTTTATGAAAAATTATTAATATTATATCTTATATTCTATCAATTATAAGTTACATCAAGTTGTATATCAATAATATATTCATATGATTTGATTGAAATGAAAATAATTTCTATTCATCCAAATCACACAAACATATCATTAATATCTTATTAATACAATTTTAATGCAATTGTTATCATTACTATATTTTTTCAAACTAAACATTTATATAACTTGTTATTTAAAATATTAATATAATTTATTTGAATGATATTGTTAAGACTTAAACTAAATTTACCATTATATGCGTAATACTATTATTATAATTATTAAGTAATTTAATAATTAAATAAATGCCTGAATTCATTGTACAGAAGATTAAATTAATATATTCAAGTTTGTAATGTAATATTGGACTATAGTGTATTAAATATAGAACTACATTTATTTTATATTTTTTCAAGATTTTATTAGCAAATGTTTTACTTATTTATTATTTATATAAAAATCAATTATTTAAGTCTAAAAGAAAATCAGGAATTCTGGATCAATACCAAGAATTATCATTTATCTATATATTATTTAATTAAATATATTATAAAAAACATGGAATTACCCTAATTATAATGAATGTGCACGTTTATGTAACTGTTAATGTGTGTTAATTTTGATTACAATGAATTATTGTATTATAAACTAGCAACAAATTTGAAAATAATTCGGTTCAACGATTTGTATCTTAATAGAAATGGACACAATTTCAGCAATTAATTGCATTTAATTCTAATAACAATTTTATAATAATAACAATAATATCGTTTCATTTGAATAAACTGAGCTCATATTAAATCCTCGTCATTATAATTATAATTGTAATAAATATTGTATAATATTTTAGATTAAAAATGATTTTTTATCGGCGAATATATTTTTTCAAATGTTTAACTCATACTTTATATAGAGATAACACTTGAACGCCAACTAATTAGTGAAACTTTACGGAAGGCAACAAATATTTCCTATTAATATCGCATATATATCTGACCCTTATGTGAGATCCTAATTCAGGAGAAAGTTTAGCTAAAGTTTATTATTATTATTGTATCTCAACATCACTTCTATTTTTTAAATAACCTTTTGAAAGCTCAAAACTAATTATTAGCTCTAATTTTTTGTTTGTGAATTATATTTCAATTCAGGTTAAATTAGTTTTAACGAAAGTGAGTAGCCTAGCATTATATTTATTTTAATTTTGTTTTGAAGAACAAGACATGAGATGACATATACTCTAATGTTAAAAATTTATATAAATATAACACTGTATTAACAGCACATTCTGTATGAATCAAAAGTTATCATCACATTATATTAATTCCCAAAACGTTCATAAAATGTTTAAATTTTATTTAATTTTATTTTTTATTATTTAAATAAAATATGAATACCTGAAAATTCAGAACATATTAGCAATGAATCACGCTTGGTAAGATTAGCAACTTTGGTTGAATCCATAGCGTTGTTAAATAACAGTATACTGTACTTATACTTAAATTTATCAGTAATAGGAATAGAGACCAGAGTTGCCACAAGACTATTAATTCAATTGTTTATATTTAAACAAACATTTCCTACGAATGTTAACTTAATTGTAACCAAAAGAATGCAAATAATGAATTAATGCAATCCTATATAAACAGTAGGAATATGTGGGTAAAAATTCTCACCCATATAATGAATATGGGAGACAAGATTGTAATGCATTAAATAATTTTTTACATTAAAACACAATTCTTTGTTTTATAACCAAATAGATTAAATTCTTTATACGCTCTGATTTGTTAACTAATATAAATCAAAACTGATCAGTTCTTTTCATTTAACTATAGTAACTATTTTTAGCGGTTAATAGTATTACCCCCAGACTCAGGATGTGAACCGATCATGTATTGTTTATTTTATCTATATTTAACTATTTTAGGCGTTCGATACTATATTAACCACTTTGTATTTTGTAAAATACTATATTTAAAACATCGAAATTACCAAAAGTGTCGTAATTGTACTGTTCATTCGACGAAATATCATATGACAAAACATAAGTTTGTGGTAATAAGTGACTGATTGAAGTAATTGATTGCAACTACTCAGTAAAATAGTCACTACCGTATTATGTGTTTCACTCATTAATAATGAGTCATTATATGACACAAATTAAAACAACATTTGGTTAATTAATATCAAGTCATCAAATCATAACATTAGCAGTGGTTTCGTATAATTAGATATAATGAGTTATAAATGGAAAGAATATTTTAATGAAAAAATACTAAATCATTACAAATGAGTCCAAAATAAACATCAAAATTGACAATTAAATGATTGAATAAACATATTCTCACTAATTATACATAATATAGACATAAATAGGAGTCAGTCCTCGTTATAATAGCCGTAAGAATGGGAAATGTTTTGATAAAACAAATGATAATTTGTGCCAATAATTAATTCAGAGTGAAATTAATGTTCAAAATTGGATTAATAGGGTTTCGATCGACGGTCACTGAAATGAAGCAAAAATAAACAAACCATTAGAAAATCATTTACTATCAAAAACTGGTTAATCCTTACGGCGGTCCTCCGCCTCCACCACCACTTCTCATGGGTCCGCCGCCCATCGGTCCGCCTCTGCCACCCATTCCACCTCTAGGAGGCCCTCCGCGACCACCGCCTCGTCCGCCGCCGCGATCGCCTCCTCGTCCGCCTCCTCTATCGCCTCGGAAACCACCGCCGCCTCCCCCTCGGCCACCGCGGTCTCCCATTCCGCCGCCGCGTCCGCCACCGCCACGGGGGCCGCCGCGGTCTCCCATTCCTCCGCGTCTCTGTCCGCCGCTCTCCACGACCTGCGGTGTCATAAGACCGGGCGGTCCGCCGTCCGAAGGTCGGGGAGCTTTGCATCGATTGCATTCATTACGCCACGAAAAGTTGTTGTTATTGCAGTTCGGATCCGGGCATCTGAAGACACAAACACAACACCCATTCATAACTACAACATTCAAAATCATATAATCATCTAAGCATACCTCCAGTCTCCCTGACGACCGCCATTATCGGATGAGCCGCCGCGGGGACCACCGGGTCCGCCGCCACGGCTTCCACCGCCGCCGCGATCACCGCCTCGGCCTCCGCGGAATCCACCGCCGCCTCCAAAGCCACGATCGCCGCCACTAGACTTTCGCTGCGCGAACTCCACTTTCACATACTTTCCACTACCAGTTGGAAACTCTTTGGCTATAAATGCAAATAATTTGTGATAAAAAGTTGGAATTGTTATACAATTGAGAAAACAAACCGTTGAACCAATTAATAGCCGATTTGGCGGCCTCTGGGTCTTCATAAGTGAGAGTGGCCTCACCCTTGCCTTTACCCGAAGCTTTGTCTCTATAGATCCAAATCTTGGGTTTACCCGTCTTTTTGTCAATCTATTAGAAGACAACAAATCGCTATTTAACACAAAGCCCTTCAAATATCACACCAAATGTCTCATACCTTAATCATTCCAATAGAGCCGTAATGAGAGGCCAATTGGTCTTCACTAATGTCATCGGGAAGTCCTGAGATAAAGACTGTGTCCTGATTCATGTCTATTGTAGAAATAAACAACAGTATTAGATATTAGCCATAAAATAGCAATTGACACCACTTTCAAGACATACCTTGTTGTCCATAATGATCACCCGGACCTCCAAAACCTCCGCGTCCGCCTGAATGGGACATTCAATACATATGTTAGACAATTATAATCTTATTTAGTTTGTGAGTTAATTTTATGTAATAATATCTTTCAGTACGTTATTATTTATTGATATTGCAGATAATTGTTACAGATATTTGGGATTATTAGTAACTTACTTTTATAAAATATATTTTGACTTAACCGATAAGAATATAAAAACCTATAAAATAACGTAATATTAGAGTATTATTAGCGGGAAATACACTAAACTCTGTAATCAAGAGTACAGATAAAAACTAAAGATTCACTGATAAAAAGAAAAACCTCTTAAAAACTCAACATTTAATACAATAATCATAATAAAGCTGTTTGTTTGGCACCAAATAAACCCCACAAATAATTGTAAAGCATTTTCAAACCCATTTGTTTTACATAACAAACAAACAAACAATGAATTGTTAAAACATTTAGTGTTTTAATCTTTTCATTAAAATTTAGTTTTTCTGATCAGTTTTGGTTGTGTGTAAACACTGTATGAAATGTATACCTTTCATAAAACCGGGGCCGGAACTACGGCCGCCTCCATGACCTCCTCTATAGATAGGGCGAGAGAAATGAATACACCATTTGTTAACAACATTAACACAATTTAAAACTCTCTTAAATGTCTATAAGAGTAGTTTTTTCTCTCTCAAGTCTTCCAGTAATTAATTGGTCTATAAATCAATGATAAAATATTTGGCATTTGTTGTATGCATTTTGTTTGAAAACACACTCAGGTATTATAAACATAGAAAATAAACATCAAAATCAATATACAATTAATAGTATACTCAACATATGATATATAATATTGAAATTGGATTTTTATACCCCCTTTCGATGAACTTATACCTTACATAACGACACAATTTTGAAGCACAAATTGTAGAGAAATATGTGAGGAAAAATATTACTAAAACTATTGTGTAGAGAACTCACGACTGTGAACTTCCGTTGTCTTTTGGTAACCTAAAAATTGTAAGAGAGTAAAAGTTGTCGTAACACTTCATTGTATGCGCTATTCATTAAATACAACTTTCAAACCATTTAACAAATTATTTTTAAATAGAAATTAAAGGATTTTCTCAAAGCAATTGATATAAAAATATATACAAAACAATTCACTATTTTTACAAAACAAAAAGCAAGAAAAGTAAAAACATGTCAATACAATATAAATGGCAAACGAAATACTGTTCCCTGAGAATTAAGACTAGAAATTGTAAAAATTAATAAATTTAATACAATTAGTAGACAATAGTGTGAGAGAAGGACTTAAAGCAATAGAAAGTTATTTTTACAAGTTTTGGGAAGAGTTTAAAACACAAGAGAGAAAACATAACAAAAACACAATAGTTTGATACACAGACTCATTGAACCGTCACTTAATGTTTGCTGTAATTGAAATGAAAGACAATTTGTCATTAAAATTATAACGTTTTTTGTTTGGTTTAACAGAAAAGAGACGACAATTTCAAGGCTAAGAACATTGTCTTTCATTTAAGCCGTGATATCGTTGTCTCCAATACATTACCTGTCATTTCCACTATAATAACAAATTATTAATTTAATACAACATAAAAACCTCCGCTTTTTACTTCATTTCTTAATCCATTCAATGGATTATCACATAAATCCATGTCTTCGCTGAAGGGAACAGTTTAACCGCAATTTGTTTAATACTCTAACACTTTTTGATACCTTTAAACATACCAACACTTGATACTTTAAAAAACTCAAACTAACACTCAATATAAAAATCAAATAATTTGATTACTAATTATTTACCGACTAATTAACACTTATTAGAAATCTGTTGAAACCTTAAAACTTTTATAAAAAACAAATATAAACTTATCATTGATTTCAATAATAGGACCGAATTTTTAATGGATTTAATGGCGAAAAGACGAGTGCATACCTGAATCCACTATTAGGTGGTCCACGAAATGAGTTGCCGTTACCCATACTGTCGTGAAATCCGGAGCCTCCGTGTCCGCCGCCCATTGAGCCGCCGCCACCACCGCTTCCGCCGTAATGCGAGTTTCCGGGTCCGCTCGAGCCGTATGGTCCCGATGGCGGACCGCCAGACATTCCGCCGCCACCGCCTGATAACGGGTTAAAGCCTCCGCCCATCGGAGAGCTCGATTGGCCGCCACCACCGCCGCCGCCGTACTGGTTGCTGGGACTTGAATACTGTCCGTATTGACCGCCACCAGACTGTCCACCGCCCGACTGTCCACCAGCGCTGCCGCCGGACGTAAAGTACGAATTGGCGCCGCCGTAGCCGCTGCTCGACGAGCCATAACCAGAACTACCGGTGTTGGCACCACCGGCGGGAGCGCCACTCGACCCACCAGTACTGTAACCATAACCAGATTGACCTCCGGATTGGCCGTCGGCTATAATGCAAATAAAATATAAGTTTTATGAGACGGTATAACCGTTAGAATAGCCCTCCCGTGTGGTTACCCCTCGTCTCACATACATGACGGATACCTGAGCCTCGATCCATACACTGTACCCTTCAGTGTAGTGATAGGCGGTTCACTCGACCAGTGACTGAGCACTTACTCATACATTCACATACATAATAAATAGTTATCGTGTGGTTATTGGCCACCAGTGGCCTGGGATATAGCCAGCGATCGGTTCCCAAACATAACCCACGACTGACATCGCAGTGATTATACGTTTAAAATAGAGTGGTTTTACTTACAGTAAAGGTTAGGTTGAGTTGAATAGGAGTACTGATCACTAGGAGTACTGGATTGATAGCCGCCGGACTGTTGTCCGTATGGATTGGGGGCCGAAGTGTTGCCGCCATAAGCGGGCGCCGCAGAGCCGGCCGACGAATACGATGAGTACGAGTCGCCGCCGTATGAGCCGTATTGAGTGCCGCCGTAACTGTAATACACGACAAATGCAATGAAACCAAACGGTTTGGAAGTAGTCATCGGTGGCCAGAGAAGTGGCCGAACACTACATACCCGGTGCCGGTCACTGAACTATTGCCAGAGGAGTAGCCGTACTCTGCAAATGAAAATATATGCAAATATATTAGCCGACAGTCATATCAAATGGTGGTGAGAGGTGTCATACGTGAGTCTGTCATGACTGGATCCGATGGTATCGTGTCTTTGAATTGATTATCAATCAAATGAATTGTCTTTTTGTTGAGTCAAAAGAAAGTGAATATTGTTTTAAAGGGAAAATGGCGTCCAATATATGCACTCCTATTGTGTTCAATACAACACTAGTGGAGACACCCATTGATTGACAGCCAAAACACAACACTTACGCAAAGTTTGCGTTATATTAATGTATTGTTCACTAAATATGCTTATAATTGATTCAAATTGTGTTTATTTTTCAATGAATTTATTAATTATTAGTAAAAACTAAATTTAATTAAATGTTTAATTACTAAACACATGCTCTGAATGTGTAATACATTTGTAATAAACGTATCGTTGACTACATTTGTGCCGTAATTTATGAGCACTAGTGTTGCGCTCAACGCTTGTCTCACATCCGCTTCTCTTTTGGTTATTGTATTTTAGAAACCAATCGTTTGATTGATATCTGGATTTAATAACCACTTAATAGTCACACCACCGATGGCTAAGTCCAAGAATCACACCAATCATAACCAGAGTAAGTCCGCAGACCGTAATTGTCTGCATTTGGTTCACACAAATCACTTTAATTGTAATTATAATGAATGTACTAATTGTGGATCAATTGATTTTGCCATCAAATAGACCGCAAAGACCACAGGAATGGTATCTTTCGGCCCAAACGTCACGTCAAGGAATCGATGAAAGGGGTAATTGTCTTGTTAT